ACATACATATACACACACACACACACACACATATATACATATACATATATACACACACACACACAGCGGTAAGCCCATATTTTTGTAAAAACCAGCGAGTGCTGCCAGCCAGGAAATGACTGAAATCTCTGTTTTGCTGTGGCAGCATATCGGGGAAGATTCATGGTCCTGTGGACCTAAAGTGATATTGTTTTGACTCTGAGGAATTCACACCGTTGTGATGTTTCACAGATAATTTACTCATCACTGGCAGTGACGAGAGAGCAAAAAAGGTGTTTTTTTTTATCCATACAAGTGGACATGACATGACTTGTTATAAGCCCGATGTGTGTTTTGCTTCTTGTCTTTGTACCGACTGTCGTGACATGGGGGGGGGAAAAAACACACTATATTTGCTACGAACTGTACAAGATGTTGCATCAGTATGAGGTCAGCAGTACCATCCGTTTTACCTCTGTAAGATGCTTTCTCTTGTTTCAAACAACGACCACACTTGAGCATCAAGATGGAGAACCATTAAGTATCTCCAGAGTCTGTTCTGAAGTCTGCAAAACTGCATATTTTTGCTACGCACTCTCAAGAAAGAAATTGGAAAAACAGACCGGGCATGCAAAGAAAAGAGCTGCGAGTGAGTGGAAACACTGAATACAAGGTCAGGCCGGGACATGACACAACCATGCCGGGAGGACAGTGGGATAAATGTAACGCAGAGTGAAAAAAAACAACACAAATGTCACTAAAAAAATAAAATGTACACCTGAATTATTATCATCAGTGCCAGTCTTACCCGCAGACATAGAAGTAACCGTTCTGTTTGAGCAGGATGTCGGTGATGTGTTGGCTGTTACGTAGCAGGTTGTGTTGCACGTATCTGGGTCGTGCTGCTGAGGTTGTGGCCTCCTCCTCCTCCTCATCTCTGGAGAAACACACCTTGAGATGGCTCAGTGTACCGCTGGACACAAAGCCCTCCAGCTCCTCTCTGGAACAAGCAGAAGGATTGCAGAGACATTTCCAAACAGTTTAAGGTCATTGTCAATTCAATTTCGTACAGCCTGTTCCTAATTTGTGGACATTTTGTAAAAAGTCTTTTCAAAAAGGTAGAGTCATAAGAGCCACGATTCAAGGTGAGAGAGCAAAATGACAGACCTGACCATGATGTTATGGGGAAAGAAATAGATGCAGATTTATTTTATTGCAACCTTGAAATAAATGTATAAATTCTGGCCTAAAAATGCCATGTATTCAACACGTTTAGTTCACACTGACTTATTTATCCTTTCACATTAAAACACTCTCTAAGATATTTAGCAATAGCTTCAACCACATCACAACACATACTCTATAGAACTCCCAGAACATTTCCTAAGAACCAAAAAAAGAGTGTTCTGTTTTATCGAGCTTGATAAAACAGAACACTGATGGGCGAAAGGTCTGAACACAACTGTGCAAAACAGACAATTTATCTTGTTTAACGAGAGGATTTAAGCAAGGTCGAGTAACTGTTATAAGCATCTTTTTTCTTCTTTTTTTTCTTTACAATCAATCCTCCCAGTCTTGCAGTTGGGTGTAACCTTGCTCCCTATCGGTGGTTTCCTTGCCAACTTCTCCTTCTTCCGCCTCAGTGTTTTTACAGGGCCTGGGGTGCTATTGGTAGGGAAGGAAGGAGGAAAGGTGGTGAGGGAGTACGGTTTTACTGGGGCTCAGTGCATCTGGTTTAAAGTTAAGCAGTCGGAATGAGCAGAAAAACACACAGACACGGACGCACACACACTCGTAACAAGCCGCGGCTCTGAGAACATGGGTGAAGGTCTCCGCCTCGGGTGTCTGTTTTGCAGCAACCCCGAGACTAAAATAAGGCATTTTTCCTGTAACACACAGACACTGCGGTGTAAATACTAAAAGGAACTTCTATGTGAAACATCCAGAATTGTTGCGTTTGCTAGGATGCTTACTGTCTAACCTTTGATTCGAGATGGAGTCATTAAAAGAAATGTAATTGTTTATGTATGTATGTATGTATGTATGTATGTGTGTGTGTGCGTGCTTATTATGGTTTTTATTTCCTTCCTGATGGAAACCCACAGCTGACCTTTCAGCTAAACTAATTGATGGGGTGGTATCAGAGCAGTTTTACAAATAAATGAGCACTGTATCGGTACGACACCCGGTGATATTGGTGCATCCCTAATTCAGATTTTTCATGTCAACTTGATATTGTCATTTGTAATTGAAATACTTGCATTTGTCTCGTCTGTCATGAAAACAAAAAACTATAAATCATTAAAAAAGAAAGAAGAAAAGAAATTTCATTGTTTTGACCAAAATGCGTGACTAAAAAATCTGTTTGAACAAGAGCGCAACAACATGAGTCACAAGGAGAAGGATGGCAGAGTCTTGTTTTTTTTGACATTTTAATTTTGATAATCATAGATTGATAATATTGTGAGCCGAAACTGGAGAATGACAAAGGACAGCTGATTTGTTAGAAGAACAAAACCGTTGGGTGTTTCTGAGAACCAAAACGAGCCATACTCCTTGGTGCGTTAACACACGCACACGCACACGCACGCACACCAGCCTGTGGCAGCAACACTGTTTTTCAATGCCAAGATTGTGTCACATTTGTCATACTGCGTGAGTAGCTGGGCACAAAGGCTCCTGTACAACACTCAAACCTGTGCGGTCAGTCGACCACCAGGCTCTCAAGGTACTTGCCAGGAAGCCAAACACCTCTCACCGCTGTTACTGCCAAAGAGATCATGATGTACTGAGCTGGGAAAATCTTCTCACAGTTAAGGTTGTCTAGAAGATTCTGCACGGCTGGGCTCCTCCCCCGCTTAGTGCTTTTATAAAGCAGAAACAATCAATCGAATGGATTTAAAATCATGGTTAAAAAAAACAATTAGTTGATTTGGTGGCAAAGGAGTTTCCACACTGGGGATTAATATACCTTTCTAAACTCACAACCTGAAGCGTGCTTGAGTATTTCACGTGTCTTACGTTCAAATGTTTGATGTGACAAGCAGGCAGATTGGCATCAACCTCTCACAGGGATGTTAAGTGCTGCGGCTGATTGAGGCGCATCGCAAGCCCCGTTCTTTTTTTGCTGAAAATTCGGAACACTATCAAGAACGTTGGTCACATCCTGTCTCGACATTTTGTAATATTGAAAAGCCTAAAAAGCCATATTTGCTGTACTCACTACTTATGACTTATGTTGAACATTTCTTTCAAAGAAAATAAAAGAAGCTACAAACTATGCTAAGCAGGGCTCTCCATTCCCAGGCAATCCCAGACATCAAATTGCATTTACTTTTAGTGAAATCCAGCAGAGATGAATGCAGGCAGTTAATTCAGCTGCAGGTATGATGTTCTTATTCTGCTAACCTATTTAAATTTAAATTTAAACTCTTCACGGGTGGCTCATAAAACGAAGACTAATCGCTTTGGTCAACACTGTAGGCTCGTTCGTCGGAGAAGCCCACACTGTGAGCACACCAGCGCCTGGCACCTGGCTGTGAGCTGGTATAATACTAAAGGGGGAACAAACAACATCCCCTGTGATCTATTCTTGTGTGATTAGGGATGCTAATCCATTCAAACTATTTAATCCGGAAAAAGAACTCGCTCACCGCACCGGCATCGAGTCCGTGAGTGCCGCTGGTTCTAGCAGCAGCCGATTCATTAGCGTGCAGTCGAGAGAAAGCGAAGCCAGAAAAAACCGAAATGATCAGAGCAATGATGTACTCACAGGTTGATGTCAGTGTACAATCATTTAATTAAACAAGAAGGCAATCAAAGAATAACATTAGTACAATTTAATTGGATTCAATGTTTTTTTTCATAATGACACAATTGCAAACAGCAACTTTTACGCATGCAGGAAAATTAGCATTCATTTGGAGTCAGCTGATAAATGTAAGTCCAATATTCACTCTCCTTTTAGCTCTATTTGATCCCCACCAGCCCATGGGGTAAAGTCTGCAGCACCTTAGCGGCTAACTGATCCGCTATGTTCATCAGCTAGCTTTTCTGTCTGCTGCACTTAGAAACCATGCCGATGAGAGCACAGCGCGAACCAAAACAGTAAAGTCGTGGGCCGTAAAAACCAAAAGCATTAGCCCGAAGGATGCTAACATGCTCAACAGAGCAGAGGGGGAACTTGAGAGGTGGGTAATAATACTTCACTGTGGGTTCAACACTAGTGATCCCTTTGGCTTTCACAATACACGCTTTAAGGATTCATGACAGATTTGTTAACTTCTGAGCTTCACAAATCCAGATATTCTATCAACTTGGAATTGGATTTATAAAAGAAATGCCCATCAGAACCCAACCATACTAAACAGTCACGTAACCTCTGTGCAACTACCTATATTGAGTCACAATCGAGGTACACGTCAAGGCAACAAGACCCTTTGACTCATAGGTGAAGATCATGTGGCCTTGACTAATGGAGCTCTGTATGTCCGTCGTCTTTACATTTTATAATCAGGCCTGTGGCAATTACTACATAATCTGACCTCGATCATTTTGCAGAATTGTTGGCTTTCGCAATCAAGGGAATTTAATGTTAATATTACAAATGCAGCAACAAATAGGAAGTGAATCAGGTCCGTATACATCCGCTGAGTAAATAAAGCGTCTACCTGAGCACAAGGTTCCAGTGTCAGGAAAGAAACATGGAAAAAGAGAGCTTGGCATAAAATTGTGGCATAAAATTAACAGACATAGGTCATTAAGTCGGACGTCGCAATTAATCGTCAAGATTTATTTATCGTGACAGCCCTTTTCATAATACATCCTTCTGCTGAGTGTCCACAATGTTCATGTGTGGAAGAAAAGCCTACATTTATGAATACAGGTTCATTCAATATGTTTCAATATGTAATATTTAGTGGCAGGAAGGTGAAGGATGTGGGTATGGAGTACAGTACATCTGACGAAGGGTTAAACAAGGTATGTATAGAATATGTCAATAAATGAGTACGAAGTGGAAAAAGAAACAGCTTACCTGAAAAGGTAGTCTCTGTCTCTGTGGCGACAACCAAAGAACAGCCAGGTCTCGCCAAATACGGCCTCAGGGTTCTCCTTCCTCTCCTGCTCTCTGAAAGTCAAACAACGGATGTTAGCGGTCAATCAATACCAACAGCGGACCAGAGCAGATGGAGGAGAGGGAGAGGTTAAAGAAGAGTAGTGACACCATTAAGCACTGTCTGCAATGACAGCACACTCGAGTGCCAAAATTGCCTAATGCACGAAAACGTGCTGCAGCGAGGACATTATATGTATTATTAAATTGCACCCAAACAGAAGGATAGATCCCATCACTATAAACAGCAACTGGAAATTAATGTGTTGGTGTGTGTGTGTCTAACTTTGCTCGAGTGCAAAAGAACTGCTCCGGCAAAAGTAATTCCTCTTGTGGTTTGGGAGTTTGGCGAAGCTCCCAGAATCCTTTGCCAGGCGATGGCAACACAGCGGCACAAAGTGACTCTGAAGATGCCGGTATCTGTGCCGCACACCTGCTGCAAAAGGTGACAGCTCTCTCCCAGATAACCATTGACCCCCAACCCTTCATGATGCCATCAGTCAGGTGACTGGTTTTATCCGTTACCCCCGTCTGGAGGGAGGGAGGGGCGGGGGAGAGAGGGCGATGAGGGAAGAGAGACGGGTGTTGAGGTGACCGACCACAACGTGGGGGCTGAGGAATACCACAGGGAGGCATTGAGACTGGGCCCTTTGTGCTGCGCTGCTGCACTCCGAGGATAAGGTGCTGCCTCCCCTGAACACCACCCTTTGCTATTCACCAGCAGACTGAATAATGCTTTGTGTTTTCCAGCAGTTACAGAATTAAAACGGCAGCCAACTCCTATGCGTGGTGGAGCTAGATGGTGCATAAAAAGAAGAGTTAACACACTACTTTATTGCCGAAACGATTAACCGATCAGTTTGAGAAACAGAAAGAATTAAATATCCCCTCCAGATGTTTTAACATATAAAATGACTTGTGTCTGATATGGTTTTGTAACACAAGACTTCTCCTGCGTCACTAAAACTCCATCCCTCCATCTTTAAAAGGTAAGTACAGAGAGACTTTCCCCCTTCAGCAAAAGTGTGGAGTGAAACTGAAGTTGAATTAATGCGTTTCAATTGGGAGCGATGACCAAACAAGTTTCCGTTCACACTAGTGTATCTTCAAGATACACTAGTGTATCTTGAAGATACAGTGGCCAAACAAACTGGGATGAGGGAGAGCCGGAAACAGCTGGAGGAGGTTAATAGGCAGGTAAAGGAAACACAGCACACTTGGATGAAACTGGAGAAAGCGGGCAAAAAAACGAGAGCGGTGGAGAACAATTGTGGATGACCTGTGCTCCACTAGGTCATCCACATAACATTATTTCATTTTCCCTGTTGTCTGACATGTAATATACTAAAGGATTAATATACTTATTATCTATATTGTTATAATGATCAGATTAGTATAGAGCTGCAACCAACCACTGATTTCAGAGCTTTAGTGAAGAAAGAAAAAAGAAAAAGTCTGATTGTAAATACCAAAAGCTTCATCCTCATTAATTAGATGACAAGTTGACCAGCTAATAAAAACGCCGTTTGTTTGAACTTTCCGTCTGCGGCCCGGTAGCAGAGCTGTCTGGCTGACTTGATCCAAATGCTCAGATCCCATCCATTAGCATCCTGGACGAGACTCTTTCTGATCTGCGAACAGCCTCGAGTAGACTCATTTTAGTGGGCTCGTCTCGCTCCCCTCCTCTCTCTCTCTCTCTCTCTCTCGCCTGCCCTGGAGGGATCAATACCAATATGAAAAACCTGGATTCCATTCTGAGTAGACCACACCGGCGCCTTTCTCTGAATACAAATCACATCACATCCCCACACTATAAACAGCCTGCAATGCAATCCCAGGGGGGAGGCAGAATCCACAGAGCACTCCATTTGGGGTCGAAATCAGAGGTGGTTGCCTTTCAGTGCCATTCAAATGATCAGCAGGAGGGGGGGGGGGGGTGGGGTGAAGAATTGGTAAACATCCCAATTATCTCATATCTTTCATCCAACTTGCAGCGTTGTGCGAGAGGTGCTGAGTAGCTTTTTAGGCATAAAAATACAACTAGAACAAAAACAAAAGCCCGAATACAACAACAGCTTGAGGCTTAATCACTGAAATTACATTGCAGAATTACAGCCGCATACATTCCACGTGCTGAATTCAAAGTGTTGTCATAATACAGGACAATGCCGAGTAGCAAGATGCCGTAGCCTAATTGGAATCAGCTGTCTGGTTAGACTGATAAATAGAAACTCAACGTTTGTTCGTGTAAACTTTAATAAAAGTTGTCAAACTGACGCCGCCAAGTATGCCTGCTGGCAATCCTAAATATTAAACTGTGCAAACTGATTTTTTTTCCAAAAGAAAAGCTTGTTAAGAGCTGTTAAGGAGATTAAGGCTAACCACTCAGTTAAAATACAGTATTTGTTTAACTGTCACTGCTCCCAGCTAAACAGAGAAACACTGAAAATCACGTTCACCATGAAATCCTTCCACAGCGATCAATAACGGACTTCTGGGGGGGGGTGGGGGGGGGGGGGGGGGGGGGTGGGAGGACGCGGGGGGGGGGGGGGGGGGGGGGGGGGGGGCGTATTAAAATCACCCGGTACCACCAAGCGAGCCTCTGACCTTTAGAGATGCGTCTTCTACTTCATACAAGTTCATAGAAAATGAGTACGGCATCGATTAACAGTAGGGTGGAAGGAGGCGGTAGGAAGATCAAAGTGCCCTCGTGTTGTTTTGTTGCTTTTCGGGGCCTTGAGGCAGATACAGCGTCCCGTTGACAAACCGGTGATTGTTATCTCCCATCACAGCGCAGCGGCAGCCACCGAGGCTTTGTTTGGAATCTCAAGTTAGATTGTGTTCAACGCTGCCCACCATGACAGGTTTTTTTTTTTTTTTAATCCTCCAGCAAAATACGCAGCTAGCAGGGGAGAGGATGAGAGACACAGAGAGGGAGAAATGACCGAGGACGCTGTCGAGCTGCTTCACACGAGTTTGTATTCCAACAGAAAACTCTTGAAAAGGAAAAATATATTTAAAATTTAATAGAAATAAAATCCAACATTGAAATCTGCATTGATGCATTTGACAAGAGGTTGAAATTGTAAATGTAATCAGCGTCTGAGTGTTTAGCTTGCACGAACAAACAGGTCTGTACAAATGTGTGCTTTGATATCTTAGATTTGTTTGGGCACCACAGTGAGGATCAAAGTAAGACTGATGTGTTCATAGTACTGCCTTACACCCAGAGTACTGTCCCTCTGGCTCAACCTTGATCATCAAGAAGAGAAGTCTGTCTGCAAGTGGTGTGACAGTCGGTCCAAAAAAAATTTAAAAAAGTGTGCCATCTTCAGTGCTCCTGCATCCCAAAAGGCACAAACACCTCTCAACCCACATGACCGCTCGTCCTCCCCCGGAATCCGCCGCCGTGTTATCTCTCAGAGCAATCACCCTCTGACGCCGGCCGCAAAAACAGAGCAGACGTCCGGGGCCTTTAGAGACAATTGGAGTTGACTGGGGCATAACCTCATTTATACCAAGCCACCCAAGAGTTAGACGTGTCAATCTGACTCAGAAAGGCTTACTCCGCTTTCTAAAAACGCCGTGGACGCTGTGGGCTCGGTTGGTTCAACACGCGGGCATCAGCTTCGGTCATATTAAACCCTTCTGACAGGTCATCATCATGCAATTTTGATTTAGCCATCAATTCAGAAAATTAAACAAAATGTCACGTTTTCTCCCAACTGATAGAATGGAAAGGATTTACACCGCCGGCAACGGTTTAACAAGCCGGAGAGACATACTGCGCACACACTCGGCTAACAGTCAATATCCTCGCTCCAACTCATCAGCAATTACAAGCAATGATTTACTCCAACAACGTGGCCACCACCTACTGGGCTTTTTATTTCCAAATCAATAATGCTCCATCTGATGCCTTGACTCCTGGCTCTTCATTAGAGCCCGTGTCATAAACTTGTGCATCTGAGAGGGCTTAATTTATTCCTGTTGAGACGAGTGAAGCATCGGAAATATTCCCCGACGTGATCGCGGCCCTGGCTGCTAGATTTATGGCATGCATTATGAGATGTGGACGGGCTTGGACTTGTTTTTGGGCTTTGAGTAGAGTCTCATTTGTCTCTGCAGATTACACAAAAACATGCATAGATGATATGCACTTAAGATCATTTGAACATTGATGGAGACATTTGCAAAACGGGAAACCTCAACACCCACTAAGTCTCTCTTACTTGATAAAAATGTCACGTATTGTGATAAAAGCTCATATCTTAGTGTGTTGTGACATTTGCCATACCTTTGCTGGAGGAAGCCAATGAAGGGGGCAACTCCCGTCCCCGGTCCGACCATGATGAAGGGCGCCGACAGGTCGGAGGGAGGCCGAAAGGAGCAGTTGGGTCTCAAACTCACATGGATCTACAGTCAAGAGGTCATTAGCAAGCATTTAAAATAATGAGAGTAATTACAACAAAGCTGAGAAGCCACTGTGGGCCGACCAATCTATTAATTGATCTACTTAATATTCTAAGACATACTAATAGGGAAAACTCATGGGTTCCATAGAGTCTGTGGTAGAAAGGATTTACTTGCTTTTAATTATGTTTTTTTTAATCAACCACATGCACAACGGGCCTAAAGCTCATTATTTTTTTAATCACACATTAAAAGTGAATTTCCAGAGCTGCCTAAAACATATAGTAGAAACAGGTTAACTCCCGAATGCCTCGAATTCAGCAGTTTCATGGAGACACCGCACAGTTTTCCTGATATTCTGCTTCACACTCGCCTTCTACTTTACTCAACAACCTCTTGAGCTGTAATATTTGAGGGAGAATAGGCAGTCTGGCTCTCTTGGCATCTATGTTTTAACAAAACTCGAGACAAAGACAAAGACGGGATATCATAATAAGGGATTTGGTTGCAACTAGTACAGCACCTGAACACTTGTTCTCATAAATAAGAGCACTTTTATATATCAGCCAAGACCAAGAGTTCACAGATTTGCACAATCCAGTTTCAGCTCTCCAATTTCCAGTGTACTCGTTACCTTTGGCAGAGCAGGGCTGTTGGAGGATTCCTCCTTCTCAGGTGAAACCAGGACAGGGTTGATGAGGTCAAACAGCCAACCGGTACACAAGCCTCGCCTCCCCGCAAGCCGCCCAGAGCATGCTGGGAACTCTACCACATTGAAGACAAAATGCAGCTTTCCTGGGTACCTAAGACAGGAGCTAGAGAGATGGAAGTTTTAGATGGAGGACGACAGCGACAGAAGGAAACAATAGGGTGTCTGTGTGTGTGTGCGAGGCATACAGACAGTGGCAAGCAGGGAGATACGCAGAGATGAAGTGAACAATGGAGTGAAACACAAAAAGAAGCAGAGGCAGACCAGAAAGGTAGAGGCACCACGAGGGAGGATAAATTCTCAAGAACAGACAACAATGCTCCGAGTAATTATTCACAGACCACCTTCAGAAAAACATCATTAAAGGAGCTGATCAAAGTCACAAGGATACACTGACAATGGATGTGACAATTACAAATGTGGACATGTCATTAAAATGTGCTAAATCATGATCTATGAAATATTTTTTTCTCTCTGATGTAGCGCCACAGCACTGTCAGATGAGCTCAAGTACCCCTTCATCAAGAAATAATAGTCATGTTCTCTTCAATGGAGTTTTAAACTTAATGGTATTAAACACTGTGTTGTATAAAAGTGGATATTGTTACAATATCTTTTTTTATACAATTGAATTGTCAATGTTTTGGTTGGTTTGGTCAAGATTGCATTTGTACAATAGAGAGCAAGAGAGCGAGAGAGAGAGACTGCTTTATCCTAGACTAAAAAAATACTGCTTGGGATTTTTTTGTATTAAAAATAACTTCCTGTCTGTCTTGCTTCAATAACACGGCCCCTCCCTCCTCTCCGTTCCAGTCCTAACTGCCGGCTGAAGAACTCTCACACTCTCTCATCCTTCACTCTCCAGCTCCTGTGGGCCACTGGAGACCTCTATTGACCGCAGCATCAATAATGCAGGACTCTAATGTCTCTCCGCCATCCGATAAACTACAGCCACCATCTTTCCTGCCCGTTCCCCTGTCTCTTTGCACAGACGTACAGACACACACACACACACACGAGCAGCTACGTGAGGGACTAATGAGAGGAGCAGAGAAGTTCTGACAGAATGTTGCTGTTCCACATGAACTTTGAAGGAAGCCTAATGGGTACTCGCTTAACAGGAGGAGCAAATCAATGACTGGCTCAGCCTAAAGGCCACACTATATTTACAGTGCATTCATATCTCCCCCCCACACACACACAGATTTAAACAAAAGCAAACATAACATGGACTAGAATGTTTACAGTCTGACAACAGGAATCCATAACGGACTTTAGAGAGATATTTGCAAAACACATAATGCCACTCTTTTTCAAATTCAGGAAGCTTCCATTTGATGTTATAATAAACTCAAAGCTCAGTCCACCACTGTGAAGGAGTTGCAAAACAGACGGTCTCCAGTGGACAGCAATGCATTTCCTTGCTGCCAATAGTGCGAGATCAATATGTGTTATATCACGTAAACTTGACTGTCTTGTGTATTAGTTATAAACAAAGTGAGGTTAGAGGCTTACCAGACCAGAATATATGCATAAAACTAACACCACCGACATAAAAACAGCATTTCACCATTATTCGTATGCATCTTCTTTTTGTGTTTATTTCTATTGGCATTGTCTGGATTCTCGGATGTTTTTGCAATAAATGCTATGTGATTTCCATCTTCTCCATTATCAAGAATGCAATCCAGTTTGTAAGAAGGCAGCTGTGTCAGAGGCTCCTGAGGGGAATTAATCAGGGAGGGGTATTTGAAAATATCGAAACAAATGAGCAGAGTACCGTTGCGTTTAATGATAAAAGAGTTCCATCTTCAAATAAATGAGATGAATAAATTATTCCCTTAGCATGCCATAATTGAAATATCATAATTACAAAAAGAGTTTGACAAAGTAATTTAGTAATACCCAAATGCTGTTTGGAATCGGCGGAAAAGTGGTCAGTTTCGTGGATTCGTTAACTCTAAAATTAGGCAGATGTTTTAATTTATACAGAAACACATCCAAGGATTCAATTCCTCTCCGTGAAATATCGGTGTATTTGTATTGTGCAGCTGGGAAACACCAGTAAAAGTAGGAAGCCTCTACGTTCACGTGGTGAGAATAAGACACAGACACACACACTCATACTTGTTATTCCAAGTGAGCATTGCTATAGAAGCACGTTTGTGCACAGTTTCAAAATGTAACATCCACTCCTACGTGTCGGTCACCTTACCTGGCTGCTGAATAAGGCCTGGGTTGCAGTTTCGGCAAAAGCTCTGAAAAAGGCATGCAAAGCTGTCAATCATCCCGCTGCATCGCTGCTGTGACACAGACACCCATGATAGAGAGCAGACAAAATAAGTGAAAGTCATCTTGGCCCATTGAGACGTCCTACCTACCAATCTATCCCCACCACCACCACCACCACCCAAGTTACAGTCTTGTTTCTAGGACACACTTCTATATTTATGAAATTACAAACTCAGGGTTATGGAATCCCCAAGTGTCCAGATGTGGAGCCAGTGGGAAACAGATTGCTTATGCAGACCTTATTTCAATGCCAGCCATGAAGGTGCCCTCTTTTGGGTAATATGCACCGTGCCTCGGAAATCGGGATAATGTGTCAGAGAAATCAGGAAAAAAAACAAAACTTTGAAGAGTGAGAGTTAACTTTTCACCCAGCAGCACCGAGATTTGCCATTCGCTACGCTTTGACCACCATCAGCTATTAGATGTGGGCATGAAGTGATGTGCTTGCTGTGTACTCTCCGTCAGAAGAACCTGGAAAAGTAAAGCCGCACCATATGAACCAGCTTGGGCCTTACAATAACACATTTTTCTGCTAAATTGCTTGGAAAAGACAAACAGCTGGACTACATCTGCTCTCTCCTCTTTTTTCTGGATCTCTCTGACATCTAAACAGCTCAGGGTGTTTGCAAGACAGCGCCGCAATTTGACGACCATTTCATCTCTTTGAGCGGAGAGAGGTTTTGTTTTTTTTTTTGGTAAAAGGTGATACATGAAAACACTTGAAAACATTGGCCTTGCCCAAACAGCAGCCTTCTACAAAAACATTTGTCTAGATTTCTTTCAGATACTGAAAGAAAAACAACTCAAGGATCAACACTTCATTTTTAGAGAGCATGGTGGGCTAATGACATACGGACTAAACTATAACTGCATTCCTCGAAGATGATGCAGTATAAACATGGAACAGAAAAATGTTTTGTTTATAATTCATCTATATAAAGGAAGACCTTTGGGTGTCCGGTAGAGTTATGTTGTTGAAACTAGACCGTACGTCAATCTGACAAAAAGAAAAGCAGATTTGTTCACTGGGCCATCTCAACGATAAAGATTTGTTTTTCCCCCCAAGGACAGAGTTCATATATAAAACAGTCAAGTTAGCCAGCTGCTTTGAGAAAGCCTCAGAGATTATCAGATTATTTAGCACAAAAATATAGAAGTATATACAATGTCATATCCAATGCTTTTCTTTTGTATACAAAGATGCTTATAATCCCATACGGGATGGACCAAATGTTTGGCATGACACAGAGCTTTACTAAAGGGGGCTTTTTTTTCTTAAAAAGACGTTTAAATGTTTAGACACACTGGCCTTGCTTTGTGATAATCTATATGCTTTTGCTTTAAATAGTAAAAAAAGATGACAGTTTTTATTCCAATAAATTATTTGAACTAAACTGCAACAGGGAGGATGAAAACAATCCTTCATGTTTTCAACATTTCTCAAAAACAAAAAACAAGTAATCACCTTAAGGGCAAAATCTGTTTGGAAAAATCCCCCCCCCCCCCCCCCACACACCACATTTCCAGTAAACCTTTCCATCAGCAGCCAATGGAAACACACACACGTCTGCGTCAGCCGGTGTATCATATACATTAACACAATCCTGTGCAGCTGCACGGTGTCGGAGTTGCCTTTCTATCACAGAGTGACAGCTCATGTCCGAAACAGAGGACAATCAATCCATCATCGCACCTCACTGCACCGTGATGATACTGCTGCTGGATCCAAAAGGATATATCACTTTTAAAACCTCAGAGTGAAAAGCAGCTGTTTTGTGGATTGAGGGTACATCTTAAAAAAATATGCATTTCCAAAAAAGGAGTCTGTTCCCAAAAAAAAAAAAAAAGAAAACACAGTCCCAGGGTCCCTGCTATGTTCACAAATGATCATTTTCAGGGGTACCATCGATCACACTGCACAACAACATAATCTATTCCATCTCAAAAGTCTCACTGTGCCGCAATTTATATGCAGAGGTACAACTTTTGTGTGAAAAAAAAGAAAAGAGATAGCTATGTGGTTGAGCATAAAAGTTTTACTTCTTTAGATATGGATGGTTTTGTTGGCTGCAGATGGAATTAGGGAGGTTTGTTGGCATTAAAGCATTAAGAAGAATTCTCCTAGCGAAGATTTTCCTTTCTTTTCTTTTTATAATAGCCCGCAAATGCTAATTTCATGTTACTTCTGAGAAAAGGGCCTGCGTGCTCGTGGGTTTCCAAAAACCATAGGTCTTCCCTGGCATTCCATTATATCTTATATGAGTAAAGTGGGAATACAGTTGTGTGAAAAAGTGTTTGCCCCCTTCCTGATTTCTTATTTTTTTGCATGTTTGTCACACTTAAATGTTTCAGATCATCAAACAAATTTAATTATTAGACAAAGATAACACAAGTAAACACAAAATGCAGTTTTTAAATGAAGGTTTTTATTATTAAGGGGAAAAAAGAAATCCAAACCTACATGGCCCTGTGTGAAAAAGTGATTTGCCCCCCCCTGTTAAAACATAAATTAACTGGTTTATCACATCTTTGGAAAGCCGAGTTCAATTTCTCTAGCCACACCCAGGCCTGATTACTGCCACACCTGTTCTCAATCAAGAAATCGCTTAAATAGGACCTGCCTGACAAAGTGAGGTAGACCAAAAGATCCTCAAAAGCTAGACATCATGCTGTGATCCAAAGAAATTCAGGAACAAATGAGAAACAAAGTAATTGAGATCTATCAGTCTGGAAAAGGTTACAAAGCCATTCCTAAAGCTTTGGGACTCCAGCGAACCACAGTGAGAGCCATTATCCACAAATGGCGAAAACATGGAACAGTGGTGAACCTTCCCAGGAGTGGCCGGCCGACCAAAATTACCCCAAGAGCGCAGCGACGACTCATCCAAGAGGTCACAAAAGACCCCAGAACAACATCCAAAGAACTGCAGGCCTCACTTGCCTCAATTAAGGTCAGTGTTCATGACTCCACCATAAGAAAGAGACTGGGCAAAAATGGCCTGCATGGCAGAGTTCCAAGACGAAAACCACTGCTGAGCAAAAAGAACATAAAGGCTCGTCTCAGTTTTGCCAGAAAACATCTTGATGATCCCCAAGACTTTTGGGAAAATACTCTGTGACTGACGAGACAAAAGTTGAACTTTTTGGAAGGTGTATGTCCCATTACATCTGGCGTAAAAGTAACACGGCATTTCAGAAAAGGAACATCATACCAACAGTAAAATATGGTGGTGGTAGTGTGATGGTCTGGGGCTGTTTTGCTGCTTCAGGACCTGGAAGACTTGCTGTGGTAAATGGAACCATGAATTCTGCTGTCTACCAAAAAATCCTGGAGGAGAATGTCCGGCCATCTGTTCGTGACCTCAAGCTGAAGCGCACTTGGGTTCTGCAGCAGGACAATGATCCAAAACACACCAGCAAGTCCACCTCTGAATGGCTTAAGAAAAACAAAATGAAGACTTTGGAGTGGCCTAGTCAAAGTCCCGACCTGAATCCAATTGAGATGCTGTGGCATGACCTTAAAAAGCACTGTAAAAGACTCATTGCCAGTTATCGCAACGCTTGATTGCAGTTGCAGCTGCTAAGGGTGGCCCAACCAGTTATTAGGTTTAGGGGGCAATCACTTTTTCACACAGGGCCATGTAGGTTTGGATTTTTTTCCCCCTTAATAATAAAAACCTTCATTTAAAAACTGCATTTTGTGTTTACTTGTGTTATCTTTGTCTAATATTTAAATTTGTTTGATGATCTGAAACCTTTAAGTGTGACAAACATGCAAAAAAATAAGAAATCAGGAAGGGGGCAAACACTTTTTCACACAACTGTATATGTGATGTGCAGTGCGCTCTCTGTGACCGGGAAACATTTATGTTGAGAGGGGGAGAGCCGTCCTTTTGGGATACAGACGCATTCACTTTCCTTTCTTCCACAGGTCACAATAAAGCTAAAGAAAACAAATAATAATAAAGCTTCACCCCGGTACGATTCAATTTGAACCCTGAAGTAAATTGAAAAAGATGCTCATGGACAGCATTCACCTCCCTGGAGCAATGACCCCAAAGTTTTCATCTGACACATTATGTGGACCATAGAACAAGAGCACTGACTCTGGGATGCAGGTATCTTTCTCACTTTATATCCAGCATTTACTTTTATACCCAGCATGCACTTGGCCAAAGACACCTGGGCTTAGATGACATCGCTCCTCATTATTTATAGTTGGTGTATAACAGCATAAACTCTGATCAGCAAACACCTCCCCTAGTGCAAAAGATGCAGCGGTGTGCTTTACAAGTGACACACCGAGTCAGAGTTGACCATTAAGCTATGATCACACTGATCCGAAGCGGTTTGTTTGTGTCCTTGCAAAGCTCACCCTAAATAACAGCTGTTGTCCTGAAGGCTACATTTTTCACGAGGGCGCGATCGGCGCGATTCCCAATTTCTGCATCAGTTCACCACTGAAAAAGGTGCTGTGGTTGGCAAGTATCGGCCAAAAATAACTGACATTGGGGGAGGCCAAGAGCTGTGACACAGCTGTTTTAGAGGACAACTCAACTTGTATGTAAAGCTGCAGCCAACTAATTTCACTGTCTGGTAAGTTTCAGTCAAAGCTTATTAGATCTATACTGAATGACCATCCAGCTATCTTAATGAGCTGGGGGAACACAGCAGTCTTCTACCAACAGTTGGCTCACAGCAAAAAAAAAAGATCAATATTATTAGCGGGGAGGGAAATTATGGGTAAACTGAGAAAGAAAAATCTCTTGACTTGCAGCTATAATACTGCCATTATATTCACAGGAAATGCGACACAAAAATCATATTGGAGCTACATGAATTTACAATGAGACAAGGAAACGAGATGATCCTTTGGGGAGCCCTCTGATGTACAACGCTCGGACCATTCAGTGTAATTAAATGCTCTCACAAAAATCAGCCTTGAGCCTGGGCTCATAAATCTCGCTTTACTGGGGCTACAGTGACCCCTGCTGGGTGAAAACGACCCCGACAGACAAATCTGCACAGCTGAAAAATACAGAAGGTACACTTGACATGAGCCGAGATCTTTTCAAAATATAAATGCATATTTCTGAGGTAAATTACTCCACTGATCATTTGTACAGGTGCAGTCTAAATCCCAATCTCGTGTCAATCACTGTAATTCATAATTTGCGTCGGGCTACATGAAAGCATGTATATGTGAATCTATTAAAATAATAATTCTTGACAACAAACCGTTGGTCCAGAAGGATCAAAACATTACGCATGTATATGATCAATAAATTGTTATGCTGAGCAAGAGCAGCATGTGTGTGTGTGATCTAATTGACAAAAAATGTGCCAGAAATGTGCCCTGTTTTTCTCATTAGTCACTGGATTATTGTTATGCATAAAATGTACCCATTTACTGTGTGACGGGGAGATTAGAAGGAAAAGGACAAAACAATAATGTCATATTTGATCCGATTTTGTACTTGGTGGTTCTCACGTTATGCAATAAATCTCTCAAGAATGATTTTTTTTTTACCCAATAACGCTGATTATCAGATAACAGCAGGCGCTCTGACCTATGAGGAGGCTGAGAGGAGGCGAGCAGGATGGGAAGGCTGCGAAGAGCTCCAGGACGCTGAGGCTGGAGTCTCTCACGTACAGGTTGTAGTCCGCGTTGCCTTGTCTGCTGCAGAGCTCCTGCAGTCTCCTCTTCTGCACACCGTCGCCCGTGTGCTCCACCAGCGCTCGCAGAAATGCCTGACAGAGAGAGACAGGAAATCAGATGTTAAGTCACTCGAAGTCAGCGGCGATGTATCCATTTACAACTGTGAAAAGAAGAGGCATTTAACACATTTTCTAATGTTAAAGTAGGGAAAGATTCAATGCCACGTTGCACACAGCTTATAGAAAATGTAAGGTTAGTTTTCTCGGTGCATAGAAACTGCAGAGGGAGACCTTGATAGCAGCCCAGTTGTGGAACCCGGCCATTATACGACACACAATGCACTTTCTATCCCCATAGAATTGCCATTTAGTTTCGAAACGCTTATGACGCAACTGAGACATTAGCAGCGGCGTTTTAATCCTTTAAACAAATTCATCAAAATCAATTAATGCAATCAATTAGGACGTTACATTTGCAGGAGACAGTCTGCTGTTTAACTGGTATTTCATCAGTTATTGTTAATCTTTTTGTAGGCTGTGATGCAAATTACAGGATTAAAAAGGATCATGAATAAATATGAAAATGCCACTCATGAGCAACTTTTGGAGTGATTTTACTTCATTGCGCAACGATTAAGCACTCTGATACAGTAATCACAACTTCTGAATATTTGTCATCCCGACTGTTCTGTGAAATGATTCATTATAGATTATGAGAGCTTTGCACTGGAATCATTATTATCCCTATCTTCCGATCCATACTGTACGGACAGCACTTCAACACTATTTGAACAGCATCAAGACGTAGTGTCTGTATCTGATACAGTCTGTGAATAGCTTCAGTAATAACGTTCACTTTTGTCTCAGTAGAAATGGCATTCCAGGTCATCCCACTTACATCTTTCTGTATTTGATGCTGTTATGAATATTATTGGGAGTTGTACTCACTGGGAGGCTGTGGTGATAATCTAACTATCCTAAAAAAACTAAATCAGGTAATATAAATCGTATAGGTGTTGTACCTGCTTCAGCAAAACAGATGAACTGCTTGAATTACACACACAGGTGTAAAATAAAACCTATAAAGCCTCTAGACAGCAGTTTAACCTGAAACAAAACATATTTCCAGTCTGTGCACACGTCTTATGTACAGCAGGGGATTGAACTGATGGCAGCTGTTACAATTAGGATGTACTATATCTTTCTGACACGATGTCATTTTGATTTGCAAGGTTGAAACGCTTTTCTGATTGAAAAAAAAAGAAAAAGACAGTAGAAATCTGGAGTAATGTTTCCCTATTGTCTCTTAATTTACCATACCAACCCAGCAATATCGTATTGCATGTCATATATATTTAAGGCTTAATAACACAATAGAACATGTCTTTTGAAAAAAAATGTAGTATGTAGTGTGGCATCATCATATAAGCGATGTTGTGTTATAAGTGTACACTGCTGTTTACAAAGAGCGGTAAAGTACTGATGCAGCTCCTGCCAGAGGGAAATGAATGGTTTTCATTTTAGTTCGACTATAATGTCTTTTTATAATGCATCTAACTTGCACACAATCTGGATGAAAGTGTAAATAACTTGAGAGATGGAAATCGGAAAAGGAGCACAGGAAGTTAGCTACCGTCACTACAGCAATAATATTTCAAAAGAACGTTGCAAATGTCGGATGAACCGAAACTCAAGCACCCATTGAGTACCCATATGCCTGTTTAGTAAGCAAATCATCTTACAATATGGGAATAAAATAAATAATAAAACAGGAAGATTCGCATCAACATATAATTACTCTTCTCCATAAAGTACAATACTTTTCTCCAACGTGTGCTCCAGCTGGAAAAGAACATGTCACCCTCTTATTATGCTGATATCCAGTGGGTCATATTGGAAAGCGGCTTGACCAATGCAATTTAAAGAGTAAGTAGCAGTAGTACAATGTCTAGACATCAATTACCTTCTTAGGCACACTTCTGATCTCTAGACACCATGTGAGCAGGTACAGCAGAGAAATGTTCTGGGACATGGATGGCAGCTGATGGTAGGATGGCAGCTGGGCACCTATGACCAGGAAGGAGAGGAAGAATGTAGGAATTATTATAGATATGAATGTCAAACATAAGAGTCTTTTGGAAAATGCAAACATGAGTTTGCAATGTGCCGCCATCATTGGGATATTATGTTGTCAGTGATGTATAATTGTTGGGAATCTGCTATGTTACAGTGTTCTTTTCAAGAGTACATTGGATGCATGTTAAAATCACCTGACACACATACTTTACCTTTTTTCTTGGTGTCTTTACTAAGAGACATGTGTACTCGGTGGTTCCTCTGGTCATGAAGGCCCAGTCGGTGGAGCACGTCCTCCACCTCCTCGGCTTTGTTTGGGCAGAACACATCAAACGAGTCCCCTGGATGATAGGTCACCATCGGGGGAGCCTAAGAATGAAAAAAAAAGATCTATCTTAAATCCAAACTTACATTGCAGGTTCCAAAAAATGTCAAAAATTAACATTATTCTGTCAAACTTACAGAAATGTCCAGCTCTAAGAGAAGGGCCCTCTTGACTGAATCTCCTCTGGTCAGCTGAACCGCCCTGGATATGGGAGCCGCATGGAGAGTCTCTTTGTTCAACGGTCCAACAATCTGAAAGAAAACATTTTCTAAGATGAAGGCTGAAATATGGAACAAACAACTGCTTTTATCAGCAGCATCCTTCCCCACCTGTTCCACTGAGTCCACCTCCTGAAGAGAGACATCGAGGTAGGGAGGAGGCAGAGCAGGAACATTAAGAGGCAACTCAGACAGCGGCGGGAGGGAGCATGTCAGTGAGGCCGCCAATGCAACACCGGGAACTCCAGCATTCCCAGTCTGCGTCTTCGGTGCCGATGTGGAAACACTGGCAGTACCACGAGACTGCGACGCCAACACAGGGCTGCCTGCAGGAAAAGCTGGCCTGAGATCAGAAACAGCAGTCTGTGTAGCAGAAGATGAAGCAAATTTGGAGAGCGTTTCTGCGGATGCTTTGATCGACTCGCAGCTTTGGTGGTCAGTTATTCCCAAGAGGTTAAGTTGGACATGCGGTATGGATGAATCAGGAGTTTCCTTTGGTCCCCCTGCTTCTCCTTTCAAAACGTCAGACTTATCAGAAGCCATTTTTGATAAGGCTCCTTTGATTGCTTTCCACAGTCCCTCAATCCAGGGTTCCACAACCACCTCCAGCCTGGAGAGAACAAAGCCCACAAAATGATACACAGCAGTGGAATAAAAGAAAAAGGGAGAAACAGAGGGGATGTGTCATAGGCTGAAATGCTAAAAGTTGGATGTCTATGCTGCAGAACTTACCCTACACCATCATCTGCATATCCCGTCGCATAGAATTGTTTTGCTCTGAGTTCCTGCAGACGACGCTCAATTGTCTTCCCACAGTTGCAGAAATCTGCATAATTTGTGTCTCCTAAAGCTGGAGCAGACAGAGGAAAACAGATGAAGATGTCTCAAGCCAGCAACAGCTCAGAAAGCAAACAGAGCAGTGCTCTGCATTTTAATGATTTATATACAAATATGTTTTGCAAATCAAGTTCCCAATATCAACCGGGCTTCCTCAGACCGTCATTATAGAATTTACCTAAAAGTGCATAGCAAAGGTGTGTATAGTGGTCAGTGGAGAGGGTCTTCTTCTTGATGCGCTTTACAAATTGGAGGGCATTGTCTGGTGGTTCCCCGTCTCCAGTAGTAGACACAATAAAGACCACTGGGGCATTCTCCTTCTCCAAATTGTACTGAAACCAGTTCAATGATTAACCAGTGAGTTGTGTTTCCACTAATCAATGCAAAAAACTCATGACAATAACATCCAGTGAATCATCAGGCAACGTCACAGTTATTAAGATGTCATCCATGTGTTTATTGTGTGTCAGCAGCCATGCGGTGGAAGAGAGGCTTTGACAGCTCTTGCTTCAAGTTAAACGCGTACAATGTTTAATAGCTACCTTCTCAGTGTGGCTCAAGCAACTGAGCTCAGCAACCAGTCCGTGCTCCTCGGCCTCCTCAGCTATTCCTTCGGCGAGGGACTCGGCTTGGCCCTTCTGAGATCCGTAGAGAACCACAAACCGAGGCTTCACTTCACATGGCATGCTGGAGAATCCAGAAAAACATAACTTCATTTGTAGATTTACATATTAAATGACCATCCTTAATGGACTTTTGACTTGTAGGAAAGGACACAGGTGATAGTTTTGATGGCTATGTTTTGTGTAAATCCATTCACAACTCCAGGACCCTAAAACGTAGGCGGCTGTATGCAATCATCCACATGTGCCTTGACAAAAAATACTCCAGTAATAGAATTATTAAATCATTACTTATGTCTTGTATTTTAAAAATTCAAATTGCTTGGAATTGCATGGTCTTTTGGGAGCAGAGAAAGAAATGTGCATGACACACACATGTGTTAACAACATAGAGCTGAACTGAGGCAACGCAACTTCTATTGAGGTGATTTAAAATCCAGTATTCAGTTGTCGAGCTGCGTTTTCAGAGGTATCTCTTCTTACCGACATACTGTACATTTTGACAGGTAACAGACAGTCTGCCACGGAAAAGCCTGGCTAACAACAGCCCTGAACACCACTATAAAGTAACCGGACATTGCATCAGTTTTTCACGGAAAGTTAGCGCTACAGAAGTACGCGTGGGTTCAAGCCTATATGCATACATATTCAAATGTATAATTTTTAAAACTAAGTACGGCTTCTAACATTTATTTAGAAGTATGTATAAATCAAGATATGCTTTTTTACCTTTCAAAACAGCTGTGGAAATCCACTCAATCCAGTCACGGAATTTTAGCATCTCTGAAATTCTCGCGAGATCTTGGGCACCGACTGAGTTTGAACGAGATTGGAATGAACCACATTACAAAACAGATCTTTTCAGTTCTAACGTTGGAATATTCTTTATGAAAAGCTTTTTAAAAATTATTTTCAAGAACCATTTAAAAAAAGTTACGTTAATCATGTATTTCCATTCTGGGTAAAAGAGTGTTTAAATATGTAATTAAAAACACACACGTGACGCTACTTGGTTCCGCCATCCCCGCCCGTAGACCCTTCCAGAAGTCTCAGGCAGACTCGTGGGTTTTGCTGTTCTGCCTCACTTCTGATTTTCATCGTTAAAACTCATCATCTTAACAGTTGGACACTTTCAAAGTGTTCCGAGCCCTCGGTCAACATGTCCTCTATGGGGACACTTGCTTTCGATGACTATGGGAGGCCTTTTCTCATCATTAAAGACCAGGACACGAAGACGCGGTTATCGGGCATTGACGCACTTAAGGTACAATGGGCTAGCTAACGGGGCTCAGCTGCAGCATGTTAGCAATTAGCTTTTAGTTGCATGACATTTGATGCGTTAAGCAAATACAATAATTTCTACTATTCAATGTTTGGATTTTAAATCATACACTCAATTGGCAAGCTGAGGTGTTGGTGCATTAACAATAGAATAGCATTGTTCAAAGGATTAGCTAGTCGGGCTAACATCGAGGCCCATGTGCGTTCTTGGGTGTTGCTACAATGACCATCAAAAATGGTCATTATTGATGCACATTATTTCCAAATCTTTCTTGGAGACGGTAACTTCAATCTGTCTTCAGCACAACGTTAGAGACCAAGGATAATATCGTAACGTTATTTAAAATGTGCGCTGACATGGACATTGTGCTTGTGATTTTTGCAGTCTCATATTATGGCAGCCAAGGCTGTCGCGTCAACGCTGAAGACATCTTTGGGACCTAATGGTGAGTATAAACCAGTGCAGTTACTTTGGCCCATATGATTCGAGAGGGCTAGATGAGTGCGTAGTTGCGCAAATAAATACAATTAACCACTACTTTGTCAATTTCGTAGCCCTCATTCAATTATCAGCCATTTACATTTCATTTTTAGCCAAGATTATACTTCTCTTTAACCGTTTTTTGTTTCTTTATTTGCATCCAGGTCTTGACAAGATGATGGTTGACAAGGATGGAGAGGTGACTGTCACAAACGATGGAGCCACTATTCTCAGCCTGATGGATGTGGACCACCAGATTGCCAAACTCATGGTGGAGCTTTCCAAGTCCCAGGATGATGAGATTGGTGATGGAACCACTGGAGTTGTTGGTAAGTGAAAGGATGGATGATGGTGATGATAAAGGGGGGTGTTTGGCTGTAAACCTGGATTGGGATTATCAATACATCATCAAACCCAGCTATTGTGGGTGTGGTCTTACTGTGTTTTCCTCTTCCTCCTCAGTGCTGGCTGGTGCTCTGCTCGAGCAGGCCGAGCAGCTGCTGGACCGTGGAATCCACCCCATCAGGATCTCTGACGGTTATGACCAGGCCGCACGTGTTGCCATAGAGCAGCTTGACAAAATTGCGGAAACCTTAGTCTACGATCCCAACAACACAGAACCGCTCGTTGAGACCGCCATGACAACATTGGGATCCAAAATGTGAGCCCCGTAGACACAGAATTGTTGTTTGGTTTTGTTATTGGGTTTCTAATTTTCATGATATTAATTGGGTAGACAAAATATTAGAAACAGTAAGGGCGTGCATCTTTCCCTCTCAAGACCATTCGATATGTATTTTGATAAATGGTCTGTGATACAAAAACGATACTGTTAACCATGTAATGATTTGATACCGTTCAATATAGCACTACTTTGATTTGATTCAGTTTAACGTAATTATTATAGTATTCTCACAATGTGTCATATATTTCCTGTACCAATATGGCTCAATGCAGCACATTGGCCATGGTCATAATTTTGTAAAAAAAAATGGGAAACCAATAAGGCAACATCTTCAGACAAACGGGTGTTTTAAATCTACAGGAAACACTAAGTGGACAAACGAGTGTTCTGTCTCTGCATCCAATCGACTGACACCATGCCTACCCAGCTAGCTGCTATATCACTGTAGCATTGGCATACTAGGACAGTGTAGAACAGCAGTGGAACACTAGCTGCTCTACGCTAGTCATGCTAATTTACTTGCGTTTGCTAACCTTAAGTCATAGAAGTCGCCAAAACTCTTGTTGAATGTAGCTTAGCCTTCGACATACAAAACGTTCGCCTGACACGTTTTAATCCCATTTGTTTTTGAGACTCTTCATAGCTTGTTACCTAGCCTGCTCCCCACTAGTGACTGCCTAGTTTGCATGCATGACTTTTGGTCATATCTTTCATTCGAGACCATCATATAGTAGAATAAAGTGACAGCTATGATGTAGCATCTTAAAGTTCTACTGTTGTCTTTCAGTATCAACCGGTGTCACAGACAGATGGCAGAGATTGCAGTCAATGCCATCCTCACTGTCGCCGACATGGAGAGGAAGGATGTCGACTTTGAGCTCATCAAGATGGAGGGCAAAGTGGGAGGCAAGCTGGAGGACACGCAGCTCATCAAGGGAGTCATAGTTGACAAGGAGTTCAGCCACCCTCAGATGCCCAAGGTACAAACCAGGGGAATGTCACAATTGGATGATTTCACAGGCTCCATTTCGAGTTTCGTCTTCGATGACCACTGATGTTGACATCAACTATTTTATTTCCCCACTCAGCTTCTGAAAGATGTTAAAATTGCCATCCTTACCTGCCCGTTTGAGCCACCTAAGCCCAAGACCAAGCATAAGTTGGACGTGACCTCTGTTGAGGACTACAAAGCTCTCCAGAAATATGAAAAGGAGAAGTTTGAGGAGATGATCCACCAGGTTAGTGCTGCAGGAAGGTACTAAAACTGAATTCTTCACATCTGCACTGGCACATGTGCTTGAAATGTGAACTCGTATTTCTCTTTTAGGTCAAAAGCAATGGTGCGACCTTGGCCATTTGCCAGTGGGGCTTTGACGATGAAGCCAACCACCTTCTGCTGCAGAACGACCTGCCAGCCGTGCGCTGGGTCGGAGGGCCTGAGATCGAGGTGAGCGATGTTTCTCACATGATAGAAATACCGCCACAGCCCTCACCACTTTGATCAATCATACTAGTATTTTGTCTCTGCTTAAGTGTATATTGTCTATTGTTTTCTCTGCAGTTGATCGCCATCGCCACAGGAGGCCGCATCGTGCCGCGGTTCTCCGAGTTGACACCAGAGAAGCTCGGCATAGCTGGTGTGGTGAAGGAGATCTCCTTTGGCACCACAAAGGATCACATGTTGGTTATCCAGGAGTGCAAAAACACCAGGGCTGTAACCATTTTCATCCGTGGAGGCAACAAAATGGTAAGCACAAATGGGACTCTTACGCCCCTCAACATACCAATTTATGTTAATCTATCCTTCTTGGTTCACCTTTTTATTGTATCTCTCATCAGATCATTGAGGAGGCCAAGCGCGCTCTCCATGATGCCCTGTGTGTAACCCGCAATCTGATCAGAGACAACCGTATCGTGTATGGAGGAGGAGCTTCAGAGATCTCATGTGCTCTGGCTGTCAACCAGGCTGCAGATAAGGTGAGACGCACTACAACCCACAGATGCTTTTCACAATTCATCTAAATTAAATATGGTTTTCCTTTATTAGAATCAAAGGTAAATATCCCACACACCTTTTCTGTTTCTCTGGCTGATCTGGTCTTTATTTCTGCCCCTAGTGCCCATCCTTGGAGCAGTATGCAATGAGGGCATTTGCTGATGCTATGGAGGTCATCCCGATGGCACTGGCTGAGAACAGTGGCTTTAACCCAATCCAGACCATGGCGGAGGTCAGAGCCAGACAGGTCAAAGAGAAAAACCCCTACCTCGGCATCGACTGTCTGCATCACAACACCAATGGTAAGGAAGCAATGGTCAGACGCCGCGTTGTAGTGTCAAAGCAAGACGGCATGATATTAAACATTTTGTTTTCCTCCTACACAGACATGAAGCAGCAGCATGTGGTCGAGACCCTGATTGGAAAGAAGCAGCAGATCTCTCTGGCTACTCAGGTGGTCAGGATGATCCTCAAGATCGATGACATCCGAGGCTCCGGGGAGAGCGAGGACTGAATGCCTGGAAGACTTTAAGATTTCTGGGCTGTTTTAGGCACTTCTCCGATCACCATGTCCAAACCGCACTGCGTATTGATATTTATCATTTCATACAAAATGTTCAAGCTGTTGTAGTATCAAAATCCCCATTAAAATGTTGGTCCATTGAAATTGCAAGCCTCCAATAATTTGTGTATTACATTCTTTATTTAAGTTTAGAATTTACAACTGTTGGCAAGCTGATGCATAGGTGTAATTCATTCATGATTATTACATAAACAAAACGACAGACTGCATCCATATTTTGGGCAAAAGTGCTGAAGAGTTTGGACCCTCTATTAACATTTCATTAACGTCACTTCCTCACAACTGCAATGTCATCAATCACACTAACAATTGGGGACCTCAGCTTGCTGTAAATGGCAACTTTTACATTTTCAGTTTTTAATCCTGTGCATAGAAACCTTGTTAAAGTACCATTTCAGACTCACGCTATATGTAACTGACTCCCTATGTTGATTCTTCTGACCTCCTCTACATGTACTTGTTGAGCCAGTTGAGCATGTCTGTCCTAGCCTCCAGGATGCTGGGGTTGTCTGTGGGGTTGACGTCCTCTCTCTTGCGGTGGACAAACCCATGAGTCTGACCAGGAAAGATCTTCACCTGGTAATCAGCTGTGCATTTCTCCTTGAGCTTTGCTTCTAGGACACTCACCTAAAGAGCAAATGGATATCAGAGGGTGTATGGCTAACATGTCATTTTAAATGGAAGATCTGCACCTTTTAAAGTAATTGTGCCATTTCTGCTTTTATTCTAGACTAAATGTTTAATTTGTGGTATAGTTAAACATTAAGCCATGTGGATGTTGCATCAAAGACACCATTTAATGCTCAAGTACCAGTGTGAAGTTTATACCATCTCTATCGACTTAAAGGCAATACTCTAAAAAGCTCCTAAATTCATGCGTATTAACCTGGTCCAGTGGGATAACCTCATCTTTCTCCCCAAAGATGAAGAGCGTAGGAACCTTCAGCTCATACCTGTCTTCTCTTTCACGTACGATCCCTGCACAGTATCACATAAGACCATCATGAAGTCACTGTACAGTAGAATTCTAGAATTAGGAAGAGCAGATTTGGCCACAGGTGACTCATGAATTGAACTGTGAAACATACCGTAGACTGACACTCCTGCTTTGACTTCTGGGTATTGCAAGGCGAGGTAATGTGTGGCAACCCCTCCCCAGCAGAAGCCCACTGCTCCAATGTGTTTGGCCCCACACTGCTCCTTCAGGAACCTCAGCACTGCATCCACCTCTCTGTAGGAGGGAAATATTGAGACTAAAATGTCTTCAAACCAATGTATACAAGAAAATAATGAATGCAACACAAAACTACTAAAGCCACATACATTTTTCAGCTGGACACATCAGCTGCTTAATAAAGTAAAATTGGGCTTTTTAGTTACTTGTTTATTTCCGTGGGCTTTTTGTCTTGAAGCCACTCTGCAAATTTGGACCAGTCATTTGATGGACACCACGGCTCCTTCCCCACATAGAAGTCAGGACACACAGCACTGCATGGAGCAAAAACAATGGCAGAATAAAGCACTGTTAATTAACCAAGTCGTATGTAATCTGCACCTGGCATTTTGAAGCACACACGTGACTATATCACTGTCCACTCTTTCTGTACAGTGTATTGATTTCTCACATGTATCCACTAGCAGCCAGCATATCGGCCATGTATCTTGTGTTGGGGAGCTGCCACCCGTAGATGTCCTGTATGACAATAACGGCCTTGTCGGACGCAGCGGTGGGTTTCACTACGTAAGCCTTGGTGTGCTCGATCTGGACCTCCTGGCCGAGCCCTTCATATTCCACCTTATCCCCGATATGACAGGGACAGGGCTTTGCTTCATTGGCCATCTGCTGACAGAGCAGAGCAGACAGTCAGCCGGAAACAGGTTGAATGTGGTCAGCGAAAGTCATGCTTAGACCCGGGAGTCACATAATTACACAAGCGTTCGCGCAACACAATGACAAGGCAAGTTGCAAAAATACCTCATTTTCCAATATCCCCTCTTAGCCTCAAATTCAATCATTTTAGAAATGAATGTGCATTTGTAAATCAGTTTTATACCGTAGTATTTTCCGGTCTTTGCGATGAAAAAGAAAACAATCTGGAGTACTTTGCAGGGCTCAAAAAGTTGCAGCCAGAGTTCCAGACAGACTGAAATAATTCACACAAATAATGAATTTCCTGCCAGGATCTTCAAAATAAAAGCTGTAATTTCAACATTCCACATGTTCTAAAATAGCGTGTACAAAAAGCAATTGAAAGGTGGGTTCAACACAATGTCATTGTGTTATTTTTTCCCTTGTATCTGATAATGATAATCACAAAATAATATCTTTCCAACTTTACCGAACTGAGTAACAGCAAAAGCTACAATCTCCAAATATTGTTTAGCGTGATGTGTTCTTTTTAAATACTGCAGCATGAATTCTAAAGTGGTTATTAATTTGGCTACTTATTATGTGCGGTGTTAGTACAATGGATTATTCAATAACCATCAATATCTATTCTATTTAGCTAAGTAGGTTGCTCAAGTTGACCAAGACTTTCAGCAGGGAAAGTATTATCATAAGTGCATTGGACATTACCGTTATTATAATTATATGTCTATTTGAAGGCATACAATGCATCTTTTCCTCCGACATGTCTCTCAAAAGGCACCGCTGGGATTCGAACCCAGGATCTCCTGTTTACTAGACAGGCGCTTTAACCATCTAAGCCACGGCGCCGCTGGTCACGTCATCAGGTGGCACAAAATCAAAAAGTTATGACCAATTGACTTATTACATTTTCCAATTATGTTCATTGCCGATTCATTCTCCATCTTGGCATTGTCTCTATCGCTAAATGTATTATTATGTAAAACATATCTCCAGATGTTTGATAAATTAGGCTTTGCTTGGGTTTTCTGAAACATATCAATATAACCAAAAACAGTGCATTTGCATTATAATTGGTTAGGTTTAAATAAGATGTATTTAAGGATAGGAGAAGATGGTCTAGCAAAAAAGTGGAAAAGTTGGAAGAACATAAAGTTCCAAATTTAGCATTGACATTTTAAGAACAATATTTTATTTTTGTGGTAAAATACCAAAACCAATTTCTGCAAAGATGGACCCCTAGTAGTCAAACTTCATCTACACCTCTGGTCTGATGTGCAGAGGTGCAAGTCTGATGTTATATAAAAGTTGTTGGTTCAACACCCTGCAGATGTCGCTGTTTAACATGGATGGATATTTGATACCCAGTATCTAGAAATATCAGACAGCAAAAGCGAAGAAATGGAGAACACGTTCTCCAATGTTGACACAATAAAGATGTACATATTTAAACTGCTTTTAATTGTGTTTAGAATCAAGCTTCTGATGTTGTGACATTATTGAAATAATCTTCACGGCTTTCCGTTCACTAACCACGTGACTGGTTGTTATGGAAGTTTCCCTGCCGTAAAACTCGAGCCGCTGCGGCAAAACAAAACTGATGTGACAGGAACATTGACGTTAGCGCATGCGTTAGCTATTTTAGCTAGCCATTCGTCTCCCAGGTTTAAACTGTCATTTCAGCAACACGGAGGATGTAACGTTTATGGTCTTACATCCACAAAACACAAAATAAAACCTTTTGTTTGGCGGCGAACACAGACTGGGTGTGAGAGGACACAACGAAGCAAACACTGGTGTACAGTCTGTGGGGGAACCATTTTATGATTCTCAATGCATCCGACACAGCTAGGGATACACTCGTCTCGCTAGCTAAACGATATCGTCTGTGTCGTGGATGGGTCCGCTGTACGAGTCACTCCTGGAAGAAACGGTGACCGGTGCCTAGCGATCATCATGGATACTGCGGAAGAAGGTAAATAAAGATCTAAAGGCATCTCTTTCTCGTTGCTTTTCAACCTGGGGTTTAACTAGCGGTTAGCTTCACTAAGTGCATCACTGCGAAGCTGCTGCTGCACAGCTGGCCTGCTAGTGGTTTATTTAGCATAGCTTGGTAGCCTCACAATGTAACGCTAGTGTGAGGTTAATTCAGGGAGACGGGAGATGACTGATAAAAGTTGTTTTTAATGCAGCCAAACTCAATTAGAGCAGTAATATGATAGAGGGACTATACGTTACTGGTGATGTCATCAGACTGTTGATGTATGGCCACATGGGTTACAAATTGTAACTCACTTAGATGTGTATATATCCAAGTAAACGTTAGCCTGCATCACGATTAAACTCCTTATTCTTAAAGGCACTTGTCTATCAACACACCCTTGTCCCGCCGGTCTCAGTCTGCACATCTCTGGTTTGCTTGGCGTTTGGCGATGGGTATCATCACTCACATGTTGTGTTTGTTTGTTTGTTTGTTTGTTTGTTTGTTTTGTGTGTGCAGCGGATATTTGCCGCGTGTGCCGCTCTGAGGGGACCCCAGACAAACTCTTGTACCACCCGTGTGTCTGCACTGGGAGTATCAAGTTTATCCACCAGGAATGGTAAGTGTGTTTGGCTCCTCAGCTGTCACTTTACTCCCCCCCTACCCGGTACACTTTCTCCTTTTTATGAAACGTTTGTGTGCACTGAAAGATCACTGACACTAATGTGAGTTTAGGCAAAGCTTGGACGCTGTGATAAATTTATTAGTGTATTTGTAAAGGTTGAAGTACAGCGAGACTGTACAACTGATTGTGCCAGTTTTGTTAATAGTTTTGTGTTACAAAATGTATTATTTCTGAAAGAAGAACACAGTGTAATGTTTATTATACTGCCTATCCTGACTCAAGACACATGTGCATAATGTCCTAAAGTAAACCAAAAAACAACCAAGGATCTGCATTCACATGCTCACATCCTAATAGGAACTATACAGTATAATGGATTGTGATACATTTCAGGGTGGTTGCTAAGTAATTGGATAACTTGCATAAGTTATGCCCTATGATTATTCCCACAGTGGTGGCTTGATGGCAAATGCAATTGAAGCATCATGAAAGAATGCAAAACAGGTTCATCCAGGGTGCGTTGTGTCTCTGTTTGTAGTATTGACAATGGTGAAAACAACCCCCCCCCCCCAAAAAAATCACTCGGTTTCCC